AGAGGCAGTGCTCCTGGGGCCCAAGGAAGGCACCAAGCCGGTTGGGGTGAAAAAGGTCAGGAAGCAGTACTGGCTCCCCAGGTGTCTGGCGCCCCAAGACTGGGAATGGCACAGGGCCCAAGCTAGGAGTAGAGAACAGCGGGGGAGATGGAAGGGTGAACGCGGCTGGAAGTCAAGGTGTGGAGGGCTGTGCGGTAGACTTACCCCAAGAGAAGCCTGAGGGCAGGAGAGCGGGCCAGGAGAATTAGGCAGTGGTGCAGGTCCGGGGAGCAGGGAGAGGTGAGGACGGGTCCAGGTCCCTCGGAAGCAGTGCTCCTGGAGCCCAAGGAAGGCACCAAGCTGGCTTGGGAGAAAAGGATCAGGAAGCAGCACAGGTTCCCCAGGTTATTAATCTGAAATCACAATACAATAAGGACATTACAGTTTACAGATTACACATTACTTGATATATGGACTTTGTCAGTGAAATAGGAATATATTTATAGACATAAATAGAAAGCTTTTATTGTAACTAAACAAATATCGTTAGTTTTAAAATTCTTTTACTAACTTAAGTAGGACACCAAAAATAGGGGCAACCACAGAATAGTAGATGAATTGGACACTGCCAAAATTAAAGACTTGTATGTTTAAGAACCTTCATGCTGGGCGTGGTGGCACATACCTTGTACGCCTTTAATCGCACTCGGGAGGCAGAGGCAGGTGGATCTTTGTGAGTTCAAGGCCAGCCTAGTCTATATAGTGAGTTCCAGGACAGCTGGAGCTACAAGGAGACACTGCCTCAAAAAAAGAAAATAATAATAATAATAAAAAAATAAAGTCCCTTATAATGATCTGGATCTTTTGGGTGTCTCTTGTGTTTCCTCTTTCATCTTTGGTTTTGTTAATTTGGATTTGCTCTTTCTTTTGGTTAACTGGACTAAGGATCTGTCTATCTTGGTTAGCTTTTCAAAGACCAGCTCTTAGATTCATTGATTCTTTGGGTTTCTATTACATTGATTTCTGCTTTGATTTTTGCTATTTCTTCTATTCTGCTTGGTTTGGGTTTCATTTGGTCTTGCTTTTCCAGTGTCTTGAGTCTCAGGGTTAGGTCATTTATTTGGGCTCTTTCTAATTTTTTAATATAGGCACTTAGAGCTATAAACTTCCCTCTTAGGACTGCTTTTTTTTGTTTGTTTGTTTTTGTTTTTTGTCTTTTTGAGACAGGGTCTCCCTGTAGCTGCAGCTGTCCTGGAGCTCACTATGTAGACCAGGCAGGCCTTGAACTCACAGAGATCCGCCTGCCTCTATCTCCAGAGTGCTGGGATTAAAGGCTTGCACCACCACGCCCCACGTAGGACTGCTTTTAAAGTATCCCAGAGGTTTTGTTGTGTTGTACTGTCCTTTTCATTGAATTCCAGCAATTCTTTTATTTCTTTCTTAATTTCTCCTTTGACCCACTCGATGTTTAGCAGTGTGTTGTTCAATTGCCATGAGTTCGTGTAGTGATTGATTTTGAGCTTTATTGCATTGTGGTCCAATAGAATGCATGGGATTACTTCAATTTTTTTTTTGTATTTGTTGAGGTTTGTTATGTGGCCCAGTAGGTGGTCAATTTTTGAAAGTTCCATGGGTTGCTTAGTAGAAAGTATATTCTTTGGTGCTTGGGTGGAATATTTAAAAGATGTCTGTTAGGTCCATTTGATGTATGGTATTTAATTCAGACATCTCTTTTTATTCTTTGTCCAGTTCACCTGTCTAATGGAGACAGTGGGGTATTGAAGTCCCCTATTATTACTGAGTTGGGGTTAATCTGTGTCTTAAAGTCCTATAGTGTTGTTTTTAAGAATTTCGGTGCAGCATAGTTTGGTGCATATATATTAAGGATTGTAATTTCTTCTTGGTTAACTGTTCCTTTGATCAGAATGAAGTGACGCTCCTTATCTCTTCTGATTAGTTTTCCTTCTGTTTTATCAGATATTAGAATTGCAACTGCTGCTTGTTTCTTAGTGCCATTTGCTTGGTATATTCTTTTCCATCCTTTTACCTTGAGGTAGTGCCTGTCCTTGAAGGTGAGATGGGTTTCTTGCAGACAGCAAAGAGATGGATTTTGTTTCTTAATCCATTCACTTATCCTGTGTCTTTTGACTGGGGAGTTCAGTCCATTAATATTTAGGGTTTTTATTGAAAGGTGTGTATTGGTTGCTGTCATTTTGATTGCTGTTTGTGTTTTGTCTAATTTTGTGTTTCCTTGATTATACCTTTGTTTATTTTCTTTCGTTGCCCCTAGGGTATAGTTGTTTCTCTCTCTGCTCTCTGTATTACTTCGAGTATTCTTTGAAGGGCTGGTTTTGTGGACATGTATTCTTTCAGGCTATTTGTGTCATGGAAGCTTTTTCTTTCCCCCTTAACTATAATAGACATTTTTGCTGGGTAAAGTATTCTGGGCTGGCATCTATTAGCATGTAGAACTAGAACTACCTTGGTCCAGGCTCTTCTGGCTTTCATAGTTTGCATTGATAAGTTAGCTGTAATTCTGATGGGCTTTCCTTTGTATGTGACTTGTTGTTTTTCTTTTGCTGCTTTCAGTGTCCTCTCTTTGTTCTGTACATGTGGTGTTTTTACTATGATATGTCGTGGGTAGTTTCTTTTCTGATCCTGTCTTTTTGGTGTTCTTTGTGCTTCCTGTATCTGTATGGGGATGTCTTTCCTTAATTTCGGGAAATTCTCTTCTATAATCCTTTTTAAGATCTGGCCGACACCATTAACCTGATATTCTTCTTCCTCTATTCATATGATCTGTCGATTTGGTCTTTTCATGGTTTCCCACATCTGTTGTGTATTCCATTCCTGTGTCTTTACATTTTTTTTTCCATAATCTTTGTTTGAGTGGTCCAGTTCTTCAACTTTATCCTCCAGTGTGGATATTCTGTTTTCCATTTCATTCATTCTAGTGGTGAGGCTTTCCCCTGTTGTTCCACATTGGCTTATCGAATTTTTCACTTCCTTCTTCATTTCTGCCTGACTTTTCATCAATGTTTCCATCTCTTTTGTGAATTCATTCAGAAGTTATTCCTTATCTTCGTTTAGTTCTTTGATTTGTTTGTTCACATGTTCTTTAAATTTGTTGAATTCCTTAATCATGTTCATGATTGTTCTTTTAAATTCAGTGTCCTGGGTTATCTCTAGGGGGTTCTCCTTGTAGAAGTCTTCTACAGGATTGGTGGAGTTTGGGGAGGACATAGTGTTTTAGCTTTCCATTTTGTTATTCTTTAGTTGTGATTTTGGCATGTGAATTTCTTTTGTTTATGATACGGATATGAGAATTAAGTTGAAGTATGCTTCTGTTTATTATCTGGGTGCCTAGATCCTTTCTTTATTGGTTATGTAAAGCTGTTTGGTACAGGGTTCAGGTTCTCTCAGGTTTAATTTGGAGGGAACTGATGGCTTCAGATCAGCTGTTCAGGAGTACCCACAGAAGCCCAATTCAAGTTCCACTCAGGTACACTCAGGCTTCTTCACGTGGAGGCCAGATCTGGGGACTCTCAGGCATTATCAGGCATTCTGCCTGAGGGAGACCAGAGGGACGCCAGAACTTGGCACTCCCTGGTTGTCTGCTGAGATCAGAGCCTCTACACCAATGGAGGTCTGAACCCACTCTCTCAGGCTATCTGCAAGGATTTTAGCCTTAGCCTACCAAAGCTAGATCTGCCCTGGGGCCTTGGGAGGGGCCTCAAGAATTCCCCAGGTAGGGGGATGGGTATGGTGCAGTTAGGGGAAGCTCATTACCATGTGGAGGCAGGATGAGGGGGACTCTGGGGCTCTCTGGCCCTCTGTCTGAGGGAGACCAGAACTCAGCACTCTCTGTCTGGTGGTCTGCTGAGATCAGAGCCTCTATACTAATGGAGGGCCGAACCCACCATCTTTAATCTGATTCTTAAAAAACCAAATAACTTATATTTGTCATGATTCACAACCAGCATTTAAATCCTTTACAGTCTTGATTTTTTTCCCCCATTAGTCTATAGACTGTAATGTATAAGTTAAAAGACAATAGAGAAGTATCTTTTTTTCCTTTTGAGCAGCATCCAAATATACCAGGGCTAACAACAGAACTGAAAGGGACCGAATAGAACTTCTCCAAGATGCAGAGCCTTTGGATTTTAATGCAGAAACATTTACTGATGATCCTCTTGAATCTGAATCAGGAAGGTAAGTTCTGAATGTGTCATTTTGCCTCTAGTATTCCTGTGAAATTTTAATGACATGCTGAGATGACGAGCTTGACAACAAATGATAATTTGACATAAAAAAAATCTTGGTCTGGGGATGTAGTTTGGTGGTAGCCTCCTTCTTGCCTGGCATGTACAAGGCCCTGATTAGATGACCATCATAAAAGAAAAAAAAAATCTTCATTTTCAATAAAAAATATATGAAGTAGCTTTCGATACCTTTTTTGTTTTGTTTCCTTTGTGGAGACCGAGTTTTTTTTTTTTTAATGGTCTTTTTTGATACAGGGTCTCCCAGTAGCCCCAGCTGACCTGAAACTCACTATGTAGACCAGGCTGGCCTCGAACTCACAGAGATCTGCCTGCCTCTGCCTCCCAAGTGCTGTGATCAAAGGCATGCGCCACCACACCTGGTGAGACTGTCTTATATAGCCCAGATTACCCTTCAGCTTCCTGCATGTCTGACATGACCTTGAACTTCTGTTCCTCCTGCTTCTGCCTCCTAGGAATATAGGCATGCACCACCACACCCAATTTGTTGGTGCTAGAGAACTGAATCAGGGCGTTGTGCTCAGCAAATATCTACCAACTACATCCCTACCCTAGCCCTTGATACCTTTTTATACTATTTTATGTTTTAAAAAAATTACAGCATTCTGCTAACTGTGGTAGCACATGCCTTGTAATCCCAGCATTTGGGTGGCTGAAACAGGAGGAACAAAGTGGGTTCAAGGCCAGCATCAGAAATATAGTGATCCCTGCCTCAAAAAACAAAAATATGATTCTGTAGTTGTAATTGAAATAGATGTCGTTATTTCTATATCTGTGCCTAGGTATTATAGATAAGAAGAATTGAACTATATAACAAAGAATCATGACTATTTTATATCCCTATTTATGAAAGTACCACTTATGAAATTTATTGTATTTAATATTGTAATATGTTTTGATGTTAGGCACAATATAAGTGCTTTAACATTTTATTTTATTATTAAAATTCCTTTGGATCTAGACAAATCAGTAATTTGTCTAGAGAGTCACACATCTTTTAAGTGGTGAGTCTGGTATTTTACTCCCAGTACTCTTAACTGTAGAGCCTATGTCTTCAACTACTATGCTATGAGAAAATAATAAAACAAAAAGCACAACAATAAAACAGCTGTAAGAGCCAGCTATCCTAGTATGAAGTAACTTTCGATAGCTTAAGTCAGCATACCACGGGGATACTTGCACGTCTATGTTTACTGCTTCATTATTCATGGTAGCTAAGAAATGGAGCCAACTGAGATGTCCATCAACAGATAATTCAACTGTAAAGACAAATGTAAACATGACTTTCCAGGAAAATGGATACATCTAAAAACCATGTTCAGTGAAATTAGCCAGACTCAAAAAGACAAGCATAACATTTTCTCTATACATATATAGAGTATAGATTTAAATTTATACATGGAAGAGGGGGGCAAAAGTAGGACGGGGGATATGAGAGATGAAGAAATGATCTTAAAGGAGGTAGAAGTGAAGAAAAAAGAGAGAGTAATGGCACATAAAAGCAAAAGAGGGGACTACTTGTGGAGGGGAAGGGGGCCAGCAAGAAGGGGGGTGGACAGTGGGGGAAGGACGTATGAACAAAGTGTAAAGAAAATACCACAATGAAACCCATGTATAGAAAATACCAAAATGAAACTCATCACTTTGTGTGCTAACTTGAAAAATAAAAAAGTATCACATGTATAAAGCTATTTATTATTTCCTGTAAGCAGCAAAATTCCTAGAGTATTCTGTTTGTATTTAACAATTAAGAGTGGTTATTAAAATGGTCTCCAGAATGTGTCTTACTTATACACACACACTCACACCCATTTTGTTTCTATCCTTCACTCTAGCCTATATATAATATATATCTATATATAGAGAGGCTATAATATATATAACATATAGAGAGACTTTAATATATAATATATATAGATATAGATATATAGCCTAGATATCTTAGTCTTCAAAACACTTTCTGGTCCATTTATAATCAAGTCCTTTTTGATAATATTCTTGGGAGGTAGAGCTTTTTTTTTCAGCTACTGAATAGATTTTACAATCATTACAAATTATGCTTTTTGTTTTAATGTTTTCTAATTTTTCTTTTCCTTTATCATTTCAATGCCTCAGATCATTTCTGTATGTTCACTTTTTAGGTATCAACCTGGTGGACGATATCTCTCCATGTCTTCCAGCATAATATTTGAAGATATCTAAAGTCTGTAGAAATTTATGGATCTAGTAATCAAGGTCAACACATCAGTTCAGCCTTTATGAGCAGCTTCATGCCCTAGAATTCTCTATACTCACCATGAAAAGTGTTAGGATAACAGAAAAGGCAGTGAGAATTAATCACGTCTTAATAATAATAGGTTATTGTTCATTTACTAGAACATCATGTTTTCTAGTAGGATTCATTACATCCCATCTTCAGTGTTTGCCTTAGAAGTGTAGATACAGTGGAAGGATTGGATTAATGATAAAGATTGGTATATGTTAAGAACATGTAACTCAGTTGGTTTCAGATTAATTTTTTTTTCAGGAAAGGTATTTTAAGGTCCAAAGAAACCATAAGTCATATTAAATGGCATAGTTTTATTATTGTGATTTATATTCTTGCTATTTCAAAAAAGGTTTTTTCAACATGTATTTCCCAAAGAAATGAAAGTGAATTGAGATCTGAGATAATAACCATATCACAAAACTCATGTCTTAAAACAATGCTAACTTATCAGACCTAACTGAATGTAAAAAGCTCTTATTAAGATCTGTATACAAATTGGTGGGGTTTTTGCATGTGTAATTAAGATTATACTTCAATTGATATCTTTAGCATGTGAACTCTAATCGGGTGATGTATTATTCTTTGCAGTCTTTGTAGTAACTGGATCTTTTTATGGTTTTGGTAATATTACTTTGTAAAATATTTTCATTTTAGAGAAAAAAATTCACCTTTACATTTGGCATATTGACAATATTGATCATTCAATTCAAGAAGAAATCCTAAATATTAATGGTGAATACTTTTTAATAGCCAAAGCAATCTCAAAATTCTCTAATATCTAAAAGATGCTTAATACTTTCTGAAAAGAAAACATGGCTATTCAAAGGTAAAAAGAAAAATAAATTCATTCACTATTATTGCTAGCGCTTAAATTATGGCTTAGAAAAAAATAGAAAAATACATTAGAATAGAAATGTGTAGAAACAGCTTGTTTGTTAAACATGCTTATTATTTTAAATTGGTTGTTTTAAGCTATGTATTTAAGCCAAAGTTGTGTATTATGTTTTAAAGGACCAGTGTTTTATTACACCGTGAGTGTGGTTGAGCACGACATGCTTGCAGGGAGTTTTTTGTGGCCCTGAAATATTTCTAACTCTTACAGAATCCATGCTGCCTGGATAACTTACTCTTGAACTTGTCTAACACCTATTATCCTTGCAATTATTAGTAGTCCTCACTCTCAGTCTCTCTTGTATCTCCATTTGTAGGAGAATTTTATGGTCATCCTAACAGTATGATTATGTTTTTGAAGATAATCCTTCTCTGAGTCATAAATTTAAATCTTTTATTTTGTTCTTTAACAAGTCTCATTATGTAAAAATTTGAGGACATAGCTCTGTGCAGGTACTGAAAAGATAGCGCACATCCTAATTATCTTTTTTTTTATGGTTGCATTTCTTATGACCTTTGAAATTAAATCCCCTTAAAATAATCATCAGTAGGTAGATTCACTCTGAATTGATGGTTGAATAGCCTGCTCATTTGAGGAAACATAACACATAACTTTTTATGTGACATGCAATCAGAGACTAGTTGGCAAGGAACAGTGATGCTATTTTAGTGATTGACTCCTTAAATACATCAGGCAGATCATGTAACCTTTTAGTGCCTCAGTTTCTTCATTTTCAGATTGAAGAAAGTATTTGCTATTTACCTACTGATTTTCCTCACAAGACTATTATGAGGGAGTAAGATGATGATTATGGACTGAAGTTTAGAAAGACAATGAAAATTGTTAGCTGTGCTGTTGTTTTCTCTGGTAGTACCTGGGAGTGGTGGGTAGGGAAGATGATCACCACAGAAGGGGTTTAATTTTGAGAAGCATACAAGTCCTCAATGCAAAAACTCTTTTGACTAATTCATTCATAGACCTATTAAATAGTGTTTCATCATTTAGCATATGAGTTCACTTTGGAATATTTTTAAGTATAATTTTTTGTTAGATTTTCTCTTTAATACTCAGATGCTATTATAGGAGTAAAGGCATAAAAAGGCAAGTACCTGACTTTATAACTAACTTTTGCAGTGCCCTAAGATAAATTTGATTGGACTATATAGAGGAATGTTAGTACTTTCTCTCCCTTATTACTAAATTTTATGATTACATTAATTGAAGCATATATATCTATGCATACACTTCACAGATCTGTTTATGACTTCCGAGTTGTTTCCATAACAAATTTTGGTTGTTTCAATGATCCAGGGTATTCATACTTTAAAACAGAGTTTATCTTACAGGATCTTATAAGCAACCATGTAGTAAAGTTATCTGGCTGAGTAAATTTGAGTTTTAAAAGGTAATAATCATTTAATCTGGAAGACTGAGTTTATTTAATGGGATATGAGTTAATATTAATTAAGCCACTCTGTGTAAAACACCAATAGTCTGCACAATTTTTTTTTCTGTTTTGGGACACTTAACATGCAGCAACATCTAGTGCAAAATAGTCCTATAAATTCCATGTGCTTTACATGCAACATGCGCTTCTTTCTCTCTTTTTGAGAGTCTCCCTGCCATGCAGGCTGACGTACAACTCACTTTGTAGACTAGACTGGCCTCAATCTCACAGAGATCCTCCTGCCTCTGCTTCCAGAGTTCTGGGATTAAAGGCATGCACCACCACGCCCGGTGCAACATGCATTTCTTAGATTTGTTTATGGCACACTCTGATGTCTTACATGATAACAATTATATTTAGAGTTGTCTAAAGTTTTGTTTTTGTTTTTTTGAGATAGGGCCTCATATAGCCCTGGCTGGCTTCAAACTTACTATATAGCTGAGGATGACCTTGAACTCCTGATCCTTCTTGCCTTTACCTCATGAGTGCTGGGATTACAGGTATATGCTGCAGCACCCAGATAAATTAGTTTTCAAATAATTGTTAGGCAAGAATATACAGCAAATTAATAACAGACGTTATAGAAAAAAAGATAAATTTCATGAGTCACCTATATATTGCTAATTTATTTTTTTAAGCTGCATAACCTTTTTATTAATAGAGCACTTTTGTTGAATTCTTAAAATAAGAAACAACATACCAATCTAATTATCAAAATTGGCTTTTAACCACATGAATACAAGGGCTTTAGAATAATTTCATCACACAAGAGGTCCTCATTTCACAAAATTGCTAAGAGCTAAATAAAAACATTAAAAATTTCCCTTAGGCCTTTAATCCCAACACTTAGGAGGCAGAAGCAGGCAATGTGAGGTGGAGGCCAACCTGGTTTCCATAGCAAGTTCCAGGACAGCTGGGGCTACTGGGAGACCCTGTCTCATAAAACAAACAAAAAGTTTCCCTTAATAAAAACAGATCAAAGACTCAATAGTCTAAACATTTAAAAAGAAGTATTGCCAACTGATTTGTTTGGGGGCTCTACAATTTGTTTAAATTGTCATTTCTACAATATAAGGATAATATATAACCAAATTAAATGTGGATAGAAAAGTCACTGTGTGGTTTTGTTCGTTTGTCTGTTTGTTTTGTTGTTGTTTTTCGTTCTTTTTTTGAGACAGGGTCTCCCTGTAGCCCCAGCTGGCCTGGAATTCGCTATGCAGACCAGGCTGGCCTTAAACTCACAGAGAGTCACCTGCCTCTGTTTTCCAAGTGTTGGGATTAAAGGCTTGTGCCACCACACCCAGCCACTGTGTGATTTTTAAAGTGTACTTCAGCTTGTTAATGAACAGATTTCATTTATGTACATTTACAAACCTCATTTTTATACCTTTAGTAGGTCCAAGGAATGTTCTTAATGGTATTTTGATTACCATATTAAAGGGAAAATGAACTCTATTATTATAGCTTATACTGTAAGTGAGATTTGTACTTAGGATTTGAATGGTCCGTGCCTGAAAATCACACGGATGTACGTTTATATGTACTAAGCGACAAAAACATGTCCCTGAGAAATCTTCACATACTTGAATCTTCAAAGTCTAATGAACTGTATTTTAAATACTAATAAGTAAGTGGATTTAGGGTTTTGTCTTTTTTGTCTCCCGTTCCTTCCCTCCTGCTCTTCTTCCCATCCTCCTCTTATCATGTAATTTTCAGTATGTTGACAGATTTTTCTCTTCTATTTGTTTTATATCCGCAGTTGTTTTTAATGAGCAGTGCACTCAAAGGAACTACTTCTGATTACAAATCCCACTACTTGAAATAGCAGTATTGTTCCTAACATAGTAACACAGATTTTGCTAGACAGCTAAGCAATTTCTAAATGTAAATGTGAAGTGCGCTTGCTCATTGTGTTTTCTTTTAGATCACTAAGGAGGGCACTGCAGTAAAAATTATTTTCACCGTAAAATTTTTGTGTAAAAATTATTTAAAACCCCAAAACATTAAGAACCATGAGACATTTTATCATAAAAAGAAATTAACAAATAATATACATCGTTAAAATTTTCCTTGGGAAAGAATGAACAATTAAATAAAGAGGGTTATAGGAGACTTTGTAAAATATGAATTCCTTTAGGTAGAGTGCTTCTAAATCAGTGACTTTCTCTGCCCAGAAACTTGGCAGATTATCACCATTGCCAGCTCCTGACACCAGGCACTATGAGCCACCTGTCTAGTGGGGCAGGTACTGTTCTTCCTCTGCCAAGGGAGCGTGCTCTTACCTCTGAACCTTTCCATATTTGCCAGGTGGAACTAAAATTTTATTTCCATTTTCAAAGGGTTAGTCATTGAGATCAGATGAGGTCTTGTTATAATTTTTAAATTTCTTAATACACATTTGACATAATTCTCTCCTCATTGCTATCCTAAAGATACTTGTTTCTTATATACTCCTTGGAGAAAATTAACTGCCCCCCCCAAACCTTTTTTTTTGTGGTTATCTTGGTTACAAATCATTTTGTAAAAGGAGAATTTTTACTGTACTTGGTGCAAAACAGTAGGGAGAGTGGTTTACTGTGGCAGACAAATGTAGGGTAAACTTGCAGCTGATAAAACTGCACAACATTGCTTAGAGCTGGTATTACTTGCATAAATAATATCACTTACCCACTTAGAATTGTATTTATGAAAAGGATACTTGCTAGCATCTTCCCTACCAAATTTTAGGGGAGAGACTGTATTATTTATTTATTTTTTAGGTAATCCAATGGATTTGTTTTTGTCTGTATTTTGGAAACAACTTGAAGGATATTTCTCATTTTAGAAGATAGAGAATATGTAGACCTATCTTTTAAATTACTGTAACCTAATATATTTGTTTGTATAAATTATAGCATTGAAAAGTACGAAACTCTAATTATTGATGTTTTTCCTGGTATTTAATTTTTTGTAAATGTTTTTGTAGGTAACTAATTGTAGTATTGCTTTTAAGTAGTTTTAAAATCATCTTCAAATAAGTTCTGACCTAACCTGTTGCCTTAGGATAAAATTCAGTACTCTCCTGTGAATTTCAAATACACCTGTATCTCCTGAGTTTCTTTTCATATATGCCAGTACTCAAGAAAAGTATGCCATCAGCCTAATTTTTGCATTTCATTAACAATGATCTTGTTATTTTACCTTTGTATAATTCAATTGACTAGATGAAATAGAAGATAAATATTTCCAAATGTGTATCCAATCATAATTTTTCAAAATATTAACTGTTTTCATTTTGTTGTGCATGATGCCCGTTTACCTTTAATCAGCCTTTATTATTGGTTGTATAATAACAAATGTTCCTACCTGGCCAGCTGGTTGTAAGTTCAACTGTTTTTTTTTCTACCATGGAGTCTCACTACATTTTCAAATATATATTGGGAAGAAGTTACAAAGTGCTACTAATAATTAACTTAGCATCTGCAGCCTTATCTATGCACAGTGTTCCCTCAGTTTGATTTTGACAAATTCATTGACTTGTGATTCCTTTGTAGTGTTGTAGCTTATTGTGATGTAATGAATTTTTTGAAATGTTTATACGATTCATTATTAAAATATAGAAACTTAAGGAGCTTGGCATGAAATAAAGTACATTTCTATGAACTACAAACAAGTTTGCTGGCTATGTATCTTAACTGAGATTAAACTGTTTTGAGAAGGTTTAGATATTCTTTATTCCTTGCAATTTACTGCTAAATATTATAAGAATGTTGAAAGATAAATAATTAAATCAGGTACTTTAGGATCTGTTTTGCCTTATGTCCATAATTAAAGTGAGAGTAACTATAAAACGTGTACAACTCAGTGACACTGAAAGTAGGGAGGCAACAGGAAAAAAAAAAAAAAAAACCAAAAGCTGTTTGAAATCATCAGTAAAAGTGATAGAACTCTGGTCAGCCTAACCAAGAAAACATAAGCGGTTGCTTTCCTTCATGCCCAAAATAAACAGTTGAAATTTGAAATTAAAAGCACAGTGACATGTACATTGGCACCCTAAAACTAAAATACTTGGGCATAATTCTAACAAAATCTGTACAAGATACCTTTGAGAAAACCACAAAATAAGTTCATATGTATGACTAGGAATGCTCAATTTTTTAAAGATGTGAATTGTTCCTAATTTGACCTACAGACTTAATGCAATTCAACTCATAGCCCTAGTAAATTATTTTGTAGATATTATCAAACTGTTTTATGGGGAGAGGCAGAACCCCACAAGACCCAACACAGTATTGAAAAAATGAAGTCTACAAAGCTGAACACTACCTGACTTCAAGGTTTACATAAATCTACAATAACTAAGACATTGATATTGGTGAGAAAATTTCCATATCAGTTGCTCAGAATAAAGAACCTAGAAATGAGCCACATGAACAAAGATAACTCAGTGCAGAAAAGTATTTCTTCAAATAGTGCTAGGATAGCTGAACAGCCATAAAAATATTAGTCTAGACACTGATCTTGCCACAAAGATTAAAACTGATCATGATTCTAAAACACCAAGTTGAAAAAGTAGATTATTACATAGCAGGTAATCTACATGATCTTGGTTTGACAATGAGTGTTTAGATCCAACACCAAAATCAATCCACAGAAGAAAACTTTTGAAAGTTAGAAATTATTGAAGTTTATTGGGGGAGGTGGGGCTGGAGAGATGGCTCTTTAGTTAAGAGTACTTGTTGCTCATACAGGGGTCCCAGATTTGGTTCCCAGCACCCACATGGTAGCTAACAACTGACTCCAATTCCAGATCTGATGTCCTCTGGTAATTTTTTATTTTATGTATGAGTGTATTGCCTGCGTGTATGTAAGTGCATCTGTGTCATGCAATGCTCTTGGTCAGCAGAGATGTTGGATACCCTGGAACTGGAGTTATGGATGATTGTTAGCTACCATGTGGGCACTGGGATTTGAACAGGTCCTCTGCAAGAGCAGCCAGTGTTCTTAACCACTGAACCATCTCTCCAGCCCCGTAATATCCTCTTATAGCCTCCATGGGCACCAGGCACTCACATGGTGCCTCACATACATTCAGATACTCACTCTTGCACATAAAAATAAAGCTTTGCAGTTTAATTCTTATCCTGCACAGAAATAAAAGGGATCAGACTTTTAGACCTGAAACCTTAAAACTAGTAGTGGAAAAAAAAATAGAAGAAACACTTCAAGATACAGGCATAGGCAATGATTGAATGGACTTTAATTTTGCAATCCTACTTGTGAATTCTTGTTATTTCCTGAACTTTAAAAAGTCTGATCCCTTTCAAGTTTATTCCTGTGCAGAATGAGAATTAAACTGCACAGATGCTGTCAAAGGAATGAAATGATAACTCACAGACTGAGAGAATATTTTCAAAAGACATACCTAATAAAGAAGATAATTAAAGTATACAAAGAATTCTTAAAACCCCCAAATTAGAAAACAACCCAATTAAAAAATGACTGAGGGCTAGAGAGAGAGAGCTCAGTAGTTGGGCACTGGTTGTTCTTGCAGAAGACCCAGGTTTGAATCCCAGCACCCACATGATAGCTAACAACTGTCCATAACTCCAGTCCCAGGGGATCCAATGTCCTCTTCTGTCCTCTGTGGGCACTGCATGACTTGGGTGAGCTTACACATATGCAGGCAATACACTCAGACACATAAACCAATCAAAAAAAAAAATTAAGTGACTGAAGGAGCTGGAGAGATGGCTCAGTGGTTAAAAGCACTTACTTCTCTTGCAGAGGACCCAGGTTAGGATCCCAGCACCCACATGGCAGATAACAATAGTCTGTAACTCCAGTTCAGGGGGTCTGATGCCCTCTCTGGCCTCTGTGGGCATTGCACATATGTGGTGCATATACATACATGCAGGCAAAATACTCATATAAATAAAAATTTTAAGTTAATTGTCTTTATTAGAAAAAAAAGACTAGCATTTAAGCTTAGAATGGGTATAAATGATAATTCCTTGAGCAGTAGTGTTGATGGTTGTGGTGAAGTCCACAGCCACAGACCCCTCTGTCAGCTCCAAGTCATGGCTGAGAAGCTGGGCGTGGTGGCCCACGCCTCCTTTAATCCCAGCACTTGGAAGGCAGAGGCAGGTGGATCTCTGTGAGTTCAAGACCAGCCTGGTCTACATAGAGAGTTCCAGGACAGCTGGGGCTACAGAAAGACCCTGTTTCAAAAACAAAAAAAAACCCCTTTTTAAAAAAAAAAAAAAAAAAAAAAAAAAAAAAAAACCCAGAGTCCAAAGATGCTCCCTTGGTAAAGGTTTCTCATTAAAAAATTTTGTATGATTTGGTGACCGCCTGATGTTGACTTCAGTCTAATACAGTGCACACAAGCACACTAGAGCAACATACTCAGGCATGCCACCAGGGTGTGGCATTGTCACCATGGGATTGGAGCACATGGAAGTGCAGGAGGACCATCCTACTGCTGGACTGCATCTCAAGTTTAGCTTTCACTCATTTTTTTTGCACATCCTCCTGAGGTATATGTTTGTAGTAAACTGGCTACTCAAAATTTATACTGACAAATTGAACTATACTGAGCAGGTTTTGAACTTGTTTTTCTGTTTTTTGACTTTACTACAAATGCCTGACTGCTTAATCATCAAGCTGCATGCATGAACAAACGAGTCCACTAAGTGCTTCCTTATCATTAAGATGGTACAGTTGTAAAATTGAGTTTGGTCTCTAGGGGACAGGACCACCAACCAATACATGCAGTTTGTATGTGGACAGAAGGTCAAATAATAGGTGGCAGGAAGCGTTCCTTGATGGATGGATGCCGATCAATAAATGAAATAACTTATTTTGAAGCCCTAATGAACTAATGGACCTAGTAATTCAACATCACTGGCTGCTAAAATAAAAAAGATAAATCCAGGCATCATGAGCCTCGGTAGTGATCACCACATACCACCAAGGGAAGTGAACCCAAGTTTGCTCAAGTATTTGGTTCTAACTGCCAATTTTCAGGGAAAGGAAGTATCTTGAGCATGTTCTCACTGTAATCTGAAGATTATATATCCTGAGTTGTCCAACAGGTAAGTTATATGTCTAAGAAAGGGATCAGAGTAGAACTTTCACAATAATAAAAGACTTTAAAACATGTTTTTTAAGTGAACAAAACATCCATATTATGTAAGGTACATACTTGAGAAGTTGATTTTTCATCCTTAAAATTTGAGCTAATTTTGTATTCATAAATTGGACTTTTATTGAGGCCTATTTAAATTAGTTTATTCAAAATTAAGAACTTGGCATCCATTATGTGTACTACAGCCCACACTTTACCACAGCATGCCCAGATCGCTCACCTGGGTTCCACTTTTTGTTTCAGTACACTTTCATCTAATAGTAGAAAAGATATTCATTATGTCTATTGCTTCTCTGTGCAATTATAAAGTTCATAGTATGCTGTCTTCATTATGCTTCAGATGTCTAGAAAGATGCCCAACGTTCAGTGACTATCTGGTGAAGGAATGAATGAATGAGTCAATGGGAAACATTCTCCAAGCAGGGAAAGAAAAGATTGACCTGTCAGGAATTGGAGGAAATTTAAGTTTATATATTATATATTTATATTTATATATTTACTATATTTTATTTTTTTATATATTAGGCTAAATATATACAACACCACATAACCACGAAACATCTATTTGTTGTGTTTTCTGCTCTTCAGGGCCCAGGAGATGTTTATTTCTCATCCTGCAGAGTATAGTGCCTGTGGCTTGGAAACAACCCTTTAGAAGTCAAAAAACTCAAGTTAAATTAACTCTGTAATCAGTGATCATCCTAGCAACATAGTATCATACGTGATTTTAGAGGGAAAGATTTTATGATGTTATTAAATGAAAATCTTTGGGAAAAAATCATAAACTTGGAATACAGGGAAATACCTTTTGTTTATTAAATAACATAGACACTAAATACTCAGATACTGCACATCACAGCAAGAGTACATTTCCAAAATATGCCTCTCATCTTAAAATATATAAAAAACTTTAAAATCCATGTGATATAAAAAGAACAGTCAAGAAATTTGAATGGGTCCCACACAAAAGAGAGTGCACAAATGTACATGTTCTTGCTGAGAGAATCGGTTTTCTCCAGGGATGATCTCCCTGACAGGTTATCCAATCTCAAGTGCTCAGTCCTAAACATATGTACATGTGAGCAACACTAAATGGGCTCAGTAGGTTTGTGTGTGTGTAACAATAAAGAAGGGGTCATGAAATTGAGAGGGAGCTGGAGGATGTGGGAATAATTGGAGGATGGAAAAGGAGGGGTAGAAATGATATTAATCCAGTGCTCTTGTATGAAAGTCATACAAAAAATTGATAGGCAAATTAAAACAACAGAATGCCTCAACACACCTACAAGAATGGCTAAAATTACAAAGAATTGTAATGATATTGGCAAGAATGTGAAACAATGGGACACTGAGTATAAATGAGCACAAGTACCTTAAAGATATTTTGGCAATACCTTCTAATGTTGAAGCAGGAATACCATTTCACTATGTGATAATGCATGTATAATCCCAGAGACATGTACAGGAATGTTCATAGAAACATTGTTCTTAGTAATCTCAGTGACAAGTAATCAACTAAT